TGTTAAGCAGTAAACCTAGAATTTGAGTTGATGTGGTATGGTTCCAGAGTTTAAATTCTTTCTTTTTATTAAGTGTATTTATTTCTTCCATGAAAAAGAGAGAGACCCCAAAAAAGGTCTTCATGCCATGATCCACCCCTAGATCATGGCATATGTTCCCGGCCTTCTCAGGAAGCTCCTGGATATGAGGCCAGAACCTTTTCCATGTGAGTCCAGAAGTGTTACCACTGTGCCACCACCTAGCCCCTGGAGGCTGAATTCTTACTAAGCTAAATTGTCCCATAAGACTATAAAGGGAAAAAAATGCCAAAGGAAAAGAGGTCCCAAAACTGAGTCCTAAGGCATTCGACATTAGGAAGTTGCAAAAAGGATAATCTAAAGAGACTAAAAAGGAACTAAGCAGAAAATCAGAACAGGTTTGGTGTCCTGGAAACCCCTAAATAAAGTATAACAAAAAGGATTGCTTAAGAGGTCAACAAAGAAATGGACTAGAAATTGACCACTGGACCTGGCAATATGAAGCCACTAGGGACTTTGAAATGAAAACTTAATGGAATGAGTTATTGTTATAATTCAGGATTGGAGTTAGAAGAAATATGACATCCAAAATGAGATTCTATTTTTTGGTAAATGTTTAATGAATGTTTATCAGTGCCAAGCATTGGTCTACATGGTAGAAATGAACTAATCAAATCCAAATCCCTGACTCCATGGAGCTCATTCTAGTAACATGCTCAGGTATTTCATCAGGGAAAAAGCTATCACCAGCATATATACACGTATATAATGTTAACATTACATAAATCAGAGTCTGAGTCATAGTTTCAGGGTATGAATAAAGCTAAAGGCAATACACACAGATGTTAAGTAACTAATAATTATATCAAATGAGTTCATGGAAATACTTTAATATCACTGACATATATATTGGCGGAAAAAGTGGGAAGGGATACTGTTAAATATATTCTACGTAACTTACTCTATATGCTAAACTAATAAAAAAATTTAACCATGAACTACTAGACTCTGTCCAAGGATTATTTATTAGGAGTCTCTAAAGGGTCTTCTTACATTAACCTTTCATATCTTGAAACATGGACCAGGAGGAGAGAACTGATCCAAATACCAAAATGTGACAATTTTTTTTTAAGAGGTTTTCGCTATAGGGTATGTGCGCGCTCACCAGAAAGACAGAGAGAGACAGAGACAGAAAGCGAGAAATTACCCCCCAGGGGGGGTGGCCACGCCACAATCCCTTCTCCTCCATTTTCCTCTCGGGATCTTGGGCACACACACACACACGCGCCCAGCATGAGTTTAAGCCCCCGGGTCCGGGACGCGAATCACGGTCGACTACATGGGAGTCCAGTGACATAGCCATTACACTAACTGCTGGTCCCCCCAAACTTTTTTTTTTTTTTGAGAGATTTTCACTGTAGGGCGCGTGCGCTCGCCAGACAGACAGAGACATAGAGACAGAAAGCGAGAAATCACCCCCCAGGAGGGATGGTCACGCCGCAATCCCTTCTCCTCCATTCTCCTATCGGGATCTTGGGCACGCACGCACACGCGCCCGGCGTGAGTTTTAAGCCACCGGGTCCGGGACACGAACCGCGGTTGACTATGTGGGAGTCCAGCGACATAGCCATTACGCTAACTGCTGGTTCCCCAAACATTTTTGGGAGTCCAGCGACATAGCCATTACGCTAACTGCTGGTTCCCCAAACATTTTTTTTTTTTAAAGTAAACTTTTCTGGAGCCACAACAATGTCCCTACATTTAAGAAGCCTATTGTTGAGCAGGCTCGACTTAACACATTCTCAACTCAACATTTATTAAGCACCTACTTACAGCAACCACTAATTACAAAGCAAAATACATTGTTTAACTATCTTTAAAGTCAAGTTAATTCATAAATACAAAAAATGCTGAAGTAATTTGCAGGAGTTTGCAAAAGGTAAAATTACAGTGGACTAGACCAGGGGTTCTCAATTGAAAGCTATTTCATACCCTTAAAGAACATTCAGCAATGTCGGCAGACCTTTTAAATCATGATGGGGGTTTGGATGACACTGGCACCTAGTCAGTGGATGCCAAGAATGAGACTAAACACCATATATTATGCAAGACAGACCCCATAACAAAGGATTTACTAATAAAGGATTTACTAGTCTAACTGTGTCAATAATGTTGCAACTAAGAAATCCAAGGAAGAGTAATCAGAAAATCATTCAGGTATAATGAGTTGGAATCTGAGCTGGCTTAAAACAGGAAAATATGTAGAAAGATAGAACAAATAATAGAAGCAAAAGCAGAAAGGCAAGAAGGAACCTGTGTTTGAACTGGGTGCTGCAGATACTAGGAACAGGCTTGCCATTAAAAATTTATCTGAATTCAACTGCAAATATGTGTTCAAAAGCTAGTAGGATAGGAGCCAGCAGGAAGCATAGTGGTTAAGGACCTAGACTCCCACATGGGTGGCCATGGTTTGAGCCCAGGACCCAGTGGTTTGAAAAAGCATGCTAAGTGAGTGTGCCCATGTACCAAAAATCCAGAGAGGAGAATAGAGGAAAATGGAGAAGGGGTTGTGATGTGGTCATTCCCCCTAGACAGTAATTTCTTACTTTCTCTCTCTCTAGCAAGCACACTCACCTTATCAAAAAAAACTTTAAAGAAAAAGGGGGGAGGGCAAGTGGCATGGTGGTTAAAGGTGCTGGATTCCCACATGGCCGACCATGGTTCGAGTCCCCGACCTGGTGGCTTACTTTCTCTCTCTCTCTCTCTCTCTCTCTCTCTCTCTCTCTCTCTCTCTCTCTCTCTCTCTCTCTCTCTCTCTCTCTCTCTCTCTCTCTCTCTCTCTCTCACTCTCACTCTCACTCTCACTCTGTCCCTCTCTGGTCAAATTAAAATAAATACATAAAGTAAAATAATTATTTTTAAAAAATAGTTAGTAGGCTCTAGAGGTGTTTGGGCAGTTGGTAATGAGATTATTTAGGACCTTGAAAACAAAACACAGGTGTGGAAAACAGAAGCAGCAAGTATTAAAGTTTTTTTGTTGTTTTTTGTTTTTCTTTTAGAGGTTTTTGCTATAGGGCAGTGCACTTGCCAGAAAGACAGAGAGAGACAGAGAGACAGAAAGCGAGAAATCACCCCCCAGAGGGGATGGCCACACCACAATCCCTTCTCTGGGGATTTTGGGCACGCACACGCACACGCACTCGCCCGGCGTTGAGTTTAAGCCACCAGGTCTGGGACTCAAACCACAGTCGACTACATGGGAATTCAGCGACATAGCCATTATGCTAACTGCTGGTCCCAAGGTTTTTACCGTAAGCATTTTTCCTGGGGATAAATGTATTAAGTTGTAAAACTACTTGAGAGCAGCAACCATGTCTTGTTATGTGACTAAACACTGTATTCCATAAATAGCCAGTGCTAGGTATTTATTAAATTCCCAGATCATTATTTATGAAGTATTATTAGTGATCTCTAAAGTTTCATCCACTGTTAAGATTTAGGACATTCATTTAACTGGAAGGAAAAAGTTAGCATTTAATAAGTGCCTCCTAGTTGGGCCTTGTCTTCTGCACACATTATTCCATTTAATCACAGAACAAAACAATGCGTTTTTCCCTCTCTAATGATGAGGACACTGGAACTCAAAGAATTTAACTTGCCTATGATTTCACTGTAATTTAGGAAGTGGCAGAGATAAGACTGAACCTGGGTACCAGCAGTTGGCGTAATGGCTATGTCCCGGGACTCCCCCGTAGTCCACTGTGGTTTGAGTCCCCACCCAGTAGCTTAAACTCACACTGGGCATGTGTGCGTGCATGCCCAAGATCTGGAGAGGAGAATGGAGAAGGGATTGCAGCATAGCCATCCCCCCGGGGTGTGATTTCTCACTTCTCTCTCTTTCTGGTGAGTGCGCACGCCCTACAGCAAAAACCTCTCACAAAAGGAAAAAAGGAGTGAATCTTTTGCTAGTCTTAACCCAAACCTCCAAGCTTCAGTTGCATGCTGTAAGGAAGAATTAAGCTAAATTCAATACCCAGCTTTCATAATCAAAATACACAAAAATATGTAAAGTAACTCCATAATGTTGTCTTTACATTCTTTTACTATAATAATAGTTAAACTGCTCTTTAGGGGACTTGGATATGGCATTTGGTTTGCTTATATTCCACAGTGTGTATCAGAGTAGCTGCTAAGGGTATTCAAATCACCCCAAAATGATCTTCCTCAAACTCAAATCCCCATAATTACTGCCTTCGGACAGAAATAAATAAATAAATAAACAAAAAGCTAACCTGTTGAATTGGTATGACTGGTACCTAATACCAACGACTCAAAAAAACACATTATTTAACATTTCAAACACCTTTCCAGATTCAAAGTACTCTTCCACACTTCTTATAGTACAGAGACCTAGCCTAAGAAAGGCACCCAAAAGGCTCGGGTCCTCAATTCGGTTTCAGTTGTTGCCAAGTATTTCTTCTCCATCTCTCCCCGTTTGACCTTAACGAGAGCTGTCTCCTCCAGTTGCCATAACTAAATAGATTTTAACATCCTTTAAGAAACCTGACCTGAAACATTCTCCTGGATCCAGACACTTAACATCTGTCCAGAGAAGCACTTTTATTAAAGGACTTACACAATTCTACTCTAGCCAACATACCGCCCGGCCCTCCGCTGTTCTTTCAGAAGCAAAGTCCCAGCACCAGATGCTACACCAGCTGCTCCTCCAAGGCCCCTCACACCATATCCCTTCCAAGCAGTTCTTTGGAAACCTACAGTGCTAGCTCAAGGCCCATTTCACAGGCTAAGTCTCATTTCATCCAAAGAGGATGCGCCAAGCTCTCAATTCAGATCTTAAGAAAAGAACGTCAGGAAAGGGAAGAGATCGGTCCTGGCCCGGGGGTCCAGAATGTACGCAGGGAGCGGGCAGAGTGGGCTTACAGTCTAGAGACAAATGGACAAGGAACAGCAAAAACACTTACCAACATCCTGATCGAAGGGATTGGTGGCAAAGAGAGGCATCTCCACTGCGCGCCGAGGTGTCCGCAGGGACTCCCCCTCAAAACTACGGCAGTCAGGGCGCGAGGTGGGAACGTAGACTCCTCAGGCAAAAACAGCAACACAGACTACACCACCCGCGACAGCTCCTCCTCTCACCCACCCCCAGCAACCGCGGCAGCAGCGGCAGCGGCAGCGGCGGCGGCAACAGAAAAGGAGC